TATACCAATTCGATCTACAATTCGCAACACATTTCCCCAAATAAATTGGAAAACAAAGTTGAAGTGTCGAAATTCAACATGCATTAAAAATTTGGACAGCAATAACCCCGTAACTTCAAAACCCAAAACGTACCGGATAAAACACCTCCCTATTGGTTACGGAGATTCGTGGGAGATTGACGAATCGGATCAAGATCGATTGAGAAACTAAATTTCTGCTGAAGATATGTTCGAAGCTGTCTGCATACTTTCCTTTGTTGGCTGCATTTCACCCTCGTAACGAAATTGGTTGTGGAAAATTGGGCTAACATAGCAACGCCAGCTCGGAACTTAAGACCATGTGGAGGATTTGACGAGGAAAAGCCCCGCGGAATCATCGGAGTTTCTGATTCAGTTCTCTGAGTAACGGCTTCTGCGTTTGGCGCCATATCCACGACAAACCCACTCGGTCCGTCTTCGATCGGGGCGTGGGTGTCGTCGAACAGTCGAAGGAACACGCGCTCCCCCCCCCCCCCAAAAACAATTTGTACACTCATTTCTATTTTATCAGAGAAAATCAATGGCCTGCCCTTACTTGATTGGAAACTCGATCTAAAGATTGTAACTCAATTTTTATATTAAAATATTGATTCTTATATTTTAAAAATAAAATTGTTAAGGAATTAATATTTTAAATGATTAAACATAATTGAATCTCAACTGAGTCAAAACTATCAGGATTAAGGAACATTGAAATAAAATTTTGCACTGAAATAAAATTTGATTAATTTTTCTTTTTTATTATTACGAGGGGTATTTTAGAACCTTTTTTCTAATGACATAAGAGGTAAAGCAATGTTTTAATGGTTTTTAATTTTAAACATTTTTATCTCTAATTTTATTAACAAGTCTTTTAAAAAGTGTATGTAATTATATATTTTTTAATATACGTAAACAATATTCAAAACACTTTATAATAAAAAAACTAGAGGAAGAGCCCATGTATATACGCCCTGTTTAAAATTATAAGTCATTTTTAACTAATTTACATTCTTAATAATTTAATTGATATCATTAAATATTTTTTGTATTATCCTCATATAATGTAGCGTCTCATATAAGAAATATGAAAGGTCTGATGCTCAATTTTTAAAACTCGAGTAATTTTAAAAAATGTTATTAATTATATTTGAAAATTCAAATATACCTTATTATTTTAAAATATAATACTTCACAATAAATGTCTTCTAATTTGGAAAAATTGGTTAAATATCACTATTTGACAAATTAATTAGGGAATAGGACTTGTAATAAATGTAAATGTGTGGGGCCTTAAGTGTCAGCAAGTATGATAGTAAAAAAAATTACATTATCCTGAAGATGTTAATTACATGTGACGAATGCTAAATATATACTACCTCCCATTTTTAATATAAGTCCTAGTTTAATTTTTATTTTGGTTCTAAATATAAAACCCTAATCCACTTTGTTGCTCATATTTATGTATTTTTTTTCAAGATAGTCTTTCTAATAATGATAATTCTAACCAATATACTTGATTAGCAAGGATATTTTAGGAAAAACAACATCTATTTATTACAAAATAACTTAATTTATTTTCTTAATCTTCTCAAATTAGTCAACTAACTTTTATAATTAGAATCGAACGTAGTATAATTGATGCTCATTTGAATATGACTAATTACATATTATGGATTTGTATATGACTTATTACATATAATTTAAATTAAATGTTATATGCAAGTAAGCATTGGTCATATGCCTATTTACATATGGGTTTATTGTAACTTATTTGCAGAGGATGTAATTCTCTCTCAGATTTGTGCTCTATATCTTCATCTATGTGTGAATATCTTCCACTTTGCCTATAAAAGAAGATGTATACAGCTCCCATCAGTGGATGCAATTTTTTTAGTTGCGTGAAATCTTTTCTCAACTATGTCCAAAAATGTTCAAAATGAAAGACAATTTGCGCACTGCTGAGCAGCTGAAAATGAGTTGCTTCTCCTTAATAACTTGGGTACAAAAACAAATTTTAAGGACCTTTGCAATAAATATTTTAATGGGTTTTCTTTTCAGCAATTTTTTATGGATTAACTTTTCTTTTACATATTAACCTTTTTGTGATTATATTTAAACTATGGGTTAAGATGCAATCAGTATTCTAAAATATTTTCTCGAGTACAACCACTACTATAAAGTATTTTGTAATGTATCCAGCATCTTAAAATAATTTTTTAAGTGCATAGCACAGTGAATTATTTTTTGCTGCATTTAGCACCTTAAAGTAACTTTTAAAGATGCGTCCAACATTCAAAAATATTTTTTGGTGCATTTAGCACCAAGACAAAAAAAAATATTTCAGGGTTCTGGATGTACCTAAAAAATATTTCAGGGTGTTGGATATATCACAAAATATTTCAGGGTGTTAAATACACTCTAAAAAATATTTCAGGACACTAGATGCACCTAACCCTTTAAATATTTTATGTATTTTAATTAATTATATTATTATTTTAACTATGATTGGTTAATTTCAATTTAGTCACATTAAACCCTTGTCTTGATTGGATGGGGTTGGTTTCTAGTAGCCAAAAATACTTGTAGTTTAATGATATAAATGTTTTTTATATGCCTCTCGTCCTATTTCAATGAATATGCCATTTTATTATTTATTTATTATTGTGTTGACTATTAACTTTATTTTTCCTCTAATCCATAATACATTATAAGTTATAAAAAATAGTTTGGTCCAAAATATAAGTCATTATATTTGAAGAATAATTAATTAATATTTATTTGTTAATTTTGTATCTGTAATTAGTGTTTAAATGCAACTCTTTATGTTTCTCTCTCTTTCCTTTGCAGTTTCATTCAATGTAGGTAAAGTCACAAAAATTTTCAATTTTAAAACGTATTTAATGAGTTAATTACCATTTTTCATTGTGACGAATTAGATGAAATATATTAAACAAGAATACACTCCTTTGATCTTATTTATAAGTCACTTTCAATATGTTTTACATTGACAAAAAAAAAAACTTAAACTGCATTAATCTTCATTTAAAATTTACAACATTTTAACTTTATTTCATTAATATATGTTATACTACATGAAAATAAAGTCAATATAATAATAAATGAAGAATAAAATTATGAAAAAAATCACAAAAAAGACCATCAAAATTGAAAAATTATAGATATGGACTCGTTTACAAAAATTGTTATCAAAACTATACTTTTATTGTCAAAACCCAAAGTAATATTGTAGCAGGTCCCTATTTAAAATTTTTCTATTTCAGCTGTCTTTTGTTATGATTTTTCTTAAAATTATTCATATGAAAATTTTTTTTCCCTACTTTATAATTAAGATCATTTTTTTTTGTCTCCTGTCCTATTGACTAGAGGAGTAATTACAAAGTTATTGAATTTCAAAAAATGATAGAAGTGAATAAATTGGACCCGAGGACTAGAGACTAGATGACAAGTCACGGTTGGATTGTTCTTGGAAGCCCATATATCCCGGCGAATGCTTATGACCACCAAACCGTTTAAAAAAGCCAATAAGAGTTATTTTCATAACTCATAAAATCATAAATTCAAGTCCCATTACTAATATAAGGATCTTGTTAATAGGCAATTTGTATATTGTTTCTGTAGGCACTTTGGGAACCTAAAATGATCTAGAAACGCAATTCACCTAAATATTTTGATACAACAAAAAAATTGTTTGAGAAAAATGTCATAGAAGTCATTTTAAAAAAGGAAAGAAATAGACAAATTTACTTATTATAATATTAAAAAAAAACCAGGCACTATAATAATATATAGGGAACAAAAATGCATATAAATTTTTAAAAAACGGAGCAAAAATGTCCACGCCATTAACTGCTTCAACACGGACTGTTTAAGGAGAATATATTAACTGAAAAATGCTTATGCTGGTGCATACATGTCATAATAGAAAAATACTCAACTTTTCGGCCATGGTGGAATGGGATTAGAACGCCTTCGAGAGATCAGCCCTAGTGAACTTTTTCGGCCATGGCGGAGATGGAGAAGTAGAGAGCGAGCGTGTTGAGGAGACGAATGGCAGCAGCGAGGAGGGGAGGCTCTTGGAGGGTATGGCTGATTGGGGAGGAACATGAAGAGAGCTGGTTTTGCTCTTCAAAATTCAAAATCGAGCTGAAAGTGAAGTGGCATGTTTTTACTGGAGGACAAATTACGTTGACACGATATGGGACTTTAAATAAATAAATAAAAAAGTTAGGAGAAATTGTAAAAAAAGATTTTGGAATTGCAAAAAACACAGATAGGGATCATTGACAACTTCACTATAGCTTTTGACAATAATAATACGTTATGAAGTTGTCAAAACTGAAAGTGAAGTTGTCAAGAGTTTCTATCTGTGTTTTTGTAATTTCAAGGTTTTTTTTTTGTAATTTTTCCAAAAAGTTGCTGTCATCTTTCAGAGTTAACGAAAATGACGTTTTTACTTTGTTTTCAAACGTTGATGGACATTTTTGTCCTAACATTGATAAATCTGTCTTTCCACCCATAAAAAAAATGACATGGGGTCTGTCTCCTTGAGGCTCGCTTCCTCACGCACGGCACGCGCGCAGTGGAGCCGATTCGCATTTCGCACACCATAATTTCAAAGCATCCAAACTGAGAGGTACACTGTGAGCTTTTGTGCGCTGCCAGATACTAATTATCAAGTTTGTTTTTATTATCGTCAAGGCAATTCCGTTTCGAAGTTCCATTTTGTAAGGTAATCCATTAGTACTTGTTGAGTGTTTATTAATATCAGTGACTATTTTGTAAGTTATGTTTCCTCTTTAAACTTTCCTCTGGGGTTTCTTTGATTTCTCGCTGCTTCACTGGTGCTCTTTTTTTTTTTTTTGACGGCGTTCTGTCTTTTGCTCTGCTTCCTTCATCGACGTTATGAAAGCATATAATTCTTGTCTGAAGCAATCAATCAGAGCAACTGGGTATCGAAATTGTGAAATTTAGGATTTGTTGGGTGTCGGAGGTTTCCTGCAACCACTGAGAATCGAACTTACTTCCTTCGTCTGACTTGTCCTTAAGCTGATTGTCAGTCTAGGTATAGAACATTGACGGTTAGTTGATGCTCATGAAATCAAATACGGGTTCCTTGTAGACGATAGGATTAATGTTTTTGTCTGCTTTCCCATAATCGCAGCCATTGTTAACTTTGTAACAACTCAAAAGAAATGGATGAGGTAACTCTGATCGTTAAGACTGAGTCTTGCTTATTTCTTCCTCCACTCTCGATGCACCCCTTCCCCCTTCCTCTACCGTTTTCGAGAAAATGGATTGACTAGATAAACAGTGAAATGTTTCCTTAGATTATTCACCAGCTAGTAAAAGCAAAGCCCTACCCCCTCTTTCCTCATTTCAGCGGGGGTTAAAAAGATTATGGTTCTTTGTTTCTTACATTTGGTAGTTATTTTAATATTTTAATATAATTCCTTGAACTAATTAGCTTATTGTTTCAATCCTATATTTCGATCTTAGGGGTCACTGAGAAATGCACAAGAGATGGGTCATATCAACTGGTAGTTTTGGGTAAAAATCATTTTGTGTTGCTAACTTTGTACTGACTAAAAATGGGCACTGCCATAGCCGAACACACATCAGATCAGCAGCGCAAGTAGTTGTGAAAGGAAACTCCAATGGAAGAAACACGAGGCCGGGCTTATCCATCCCGTCAATCTGAATCTACCTCATCTCATGATGGTGGTGCAAGATCTGACGTCATTGGGCATGTGAATCATGGGTCTAATGTAAGAGGACTGAAGAAAAGAGGTCATGGAAGTCGTTCTTGGATAAAAATTTATCAGGATGGAAATTCGAAGACTGTGACACTTGACAAAGCTACTATTATGAGATGTTGCTCATTGCCTTCCAGAGATCTCCGACTATTGGATCCTATGTTCATTTATCCATCTACCATATTAGGACGGGAGAAGGCTATTGTAGTCAGCCTTGAACAAATCCGATGTATTATAACTGCTGATGAGGTTTTTCTAATGAATTCCTTGGATGGAAGTGTTGGCCAGTACAAGTCAGAATTATGCAATCGGCTTCAAAAAGAAAAATCTGGTAAGGATGTAGTTCTTTCTGCTGCCAAATATTGACATTTGGATGAGGCGGACTGGTGGGAAAAACAATAGAACTCGAGATTAATAGAGTTATCCTGTGGTCATATCTGTTTTGGTATTATCAGGGATAGAAGTAAAATGATACTGGAAAATTTGATTTCTTGCCTAAAGACAATATGTTTCCAACAAACCACCTATGATAATGGCTTTGGTGGAGGTAGCAAGTGCATGAAATTGCTTATCGTGTTGCCTTTTTGATACAGATGATCTGCCATTTGAACTCAGGGCACTGGAGCTGGCTCTGGAGTTGACATGCTCATCTTTGGATGCCCAGGTGAATTGACCTGTACCTCTAATTATTGAAGGGACACCCAGGATATAGACTTGATGAATAATTTCTACGTGTTTACTTTTTATATAAAAATAGCAGCAGAGTTGATAGGCCTGGTAGTCTTGTGGTTTTGTGACTATGGTCTATATCATGCATGGTAAAATATTTATTGGCAGGATTTTATTAACTGTCCTATGAATATCCATTTCCTGAAAATTCTAGATGACCCAGAAAACCTAATATTGAATGCTCTCTTCTGTCGTTCTTGTTCCTTTTGCTTTATTCAAGATCTATGCTTTGTTTTCTGTCCTTGCCTGTTATGAGGTGCATAACACTGTACTGGCAAGAAGGGGCAGTCATACATGATCCCTGTAATGTTCCCCCGGTTGCTATTGCTAGTCTTGTTGACTACTATCACTGCACCACTGTCTCAATCTTTACCACTGAGCTTACCCCGTTTTACCAAGTGAATCTATGGCCTCACTGGGTATAACTTGAGTTTCTTTGACTTGAATTTAGCATATAAGTGTTATCAGTTACCAGCTTTAGTTAAGTGACGATTTCATCTACATCTTCTCACGTTAAGAAGGCTCTGGATTTTATAGGTGAAGGAACTAGAAATGGAAATGTATCCTGTACTAGATGAGCTAACCTCATCCGTCAGTACTCTTAATCTAGAACGCGTTCGGAGATTTAAAGGCCACCTCCTTGCATTGACTCAACGAGTCCAAAAGGTTTATAAGGATAATTTTCTTGCCCTTGAATGTGATATTTTCTTCTATTGCCTGCAACTAGTAATCTGTGTTTGATTCATAGGTTCGTGATGAAATAGAGCATCTAATGGATGATGATGGGGACATGGCTGAGATGTGCCTGACTGAGAAGAAGAGACGATTGGATACATACCCTTTAAGTGATCTTTTCCTTCAGACGCATTTATCAGGATCTGGAACAGTGATTTCAAAATCAGCTCCTGCTTCACCAGAGCGGACCTTGAGTGGCGCTGAGGTGTTGCAAAGGGCTTTCAGCAACATTGGAAATTCAAGTAAATATGGCAGCTTAGCTGGTTCATCTGATAATGAGGAAAAGATTGGACCACTTGAAATGCTGCTTGAAGCGTACTTTATTGTCATTGATAACACTCTTAATAATTTATTGTCGGTAAGATATATCTGAGTTTCTTGTAGTTCTTAAGTTTGCCCATATCGTAAAATTACAGTATCTTTATGCTGGATTTTATAGTTTTTCTAATAAATAATGTACTTATAAGGATTGACTTTGACCAATCAGCTGTTGGGTAAGAAAGTTGCTTGTGTGACTATCTTTGTTCTTGTGGCCTCTGAATTTTGCTACTGAATTTTTTTCCCCTGCACGTCATGGTTGATGCAAAAATAATCTGTCCATGAGATGCATAATTTATTATGTAGCGTGCTTTGTGTAGATGCTGAAAATATTTTTCTTTTGTTGGTGATGCAGCTCAAAGAATATATTGACGACACTGAAGATTTTATCAATATAAAATTGGTAAGCCGTGATTGACAAGTTTAGCATTCTGCTATCTATTCCTTTTCTCTTTCACAATATAAATTATCTACCAAATAAAATTCACACTCAATATATATGACAGGGCAATATTCAGAACCGCCTAATACAATTTGAGTTGCTTCTAACAGCAGCTACATTGCTAGCCACAGTATTTGCTGCTGTCACAGCAGTTTTTGGAATGAATTTTGAAACCACTGTATTTGACCATCCCTCTGGATTTCACTGGGTTTTGGTAGTTACTGGAATTGGCTGTGCATTCGTATACTTCTCCTTCCTATTCTATTTTAGGAACAAGAAAGTGCTTCCAGCATAAATTGTAACCTGCTGTAAATAGTAAACACTATACTGGATTGTATATCTAGTAAAACCGAGTCGGTCACAGAACTCCATGATGAAAGATAGGACAGGACAGATTACACCAGACTCATCTATCTGGTGTTGATGGAAGAAAATCTACCCACAGCTTTAACAAGTTGGAACACGGCATGTATGAATTGAAACTTTTAGCCATCTCACCCCATTCAAGTTGCTAGAGTTGTACTTTGGCAACTATCCTTTGTGCAGGCCAAGATGTCTCTGTAATCCCTTGATATGCTGAAGGAGTCATAGACTTTCCCATCCCTGCTCTTTTTGTACTCAGACAAGAGATTTGAACTGTCAAATGCAGTGAGTTTTACTAACCCATAATCATAGTCTTTAAAGATACTCCATTTGGTTTTGAGAGTAGTGAATGTTGAAAGGCTTGCTCCACCACCACCAGCAACCACATGTATGGTCCCATTTAAGGGTCCCTTGTAGTGTTGTTTCTCTTCATTGGTACAGATATTCTATTGCAATATTTAATGAGAAGTGGGTCGTTAGCAAGAGAATGAGAGAATTCGCACTCGACTGAGGAACATGTAATCAGTGACATGTAAAATGTTGCTTTCATACATTGTCAAGGTTCCAACATGTGCAGGAGTCAACTATGCATAAAATGTAGAGTATCACATATTCACTTACTTCCTTTAAGGGCATGAAGAAAATGGGGAAGAAAAAAGAGATTTTAATGAGCTTGATTTAAAAAATAAAGAACCTGTTTGGTTGGGTGTTTAAAAGCCCAAAAGTAGCTTATTTGTGGCCATATGCCCGATTGAAAAATTTGGACCTATTTGTTTGAGCTGTTGAGCTATCTGACGTATGGCCAGAAAGGAGAGTGAAACGCAGAATCTCCATAAGCCAGTATGAGGAGTTTTTTCTTTGGCTTCGTCGTGCTTATGACTGTTGAAATAATTATTATTTGTGTTAGAAATATAATTTCTCTCTCGCCTTCCCTCATTAGTAAAACTCATACCTATTTTGATAATTTTATAAACTAAACTTTCTTTTATTCAATTATCATTCAAACAATTTTTTATCCAACCTAATTTTTACAAACTAATTTTTATAAAATCCAATCCAAATACAATTTATATCAACCAATTTAATTTTTACCCAATTTAACTTTTTTAAAAGTCATTGACAATAAATTATTTTTTAATCGCTAATCTAAACAGACTTAAAGAAGTGGGATTAAAAGTTTTTAATTAATTTTTATTACTTTTTTTATTTTACATCTTTTTTTATTAAAATTTTAAAATCTTACTTTTCCAATTTTTTAAATTCAGCACATCAAAATTTTCTCGTTCCTTCCCTAAATTTTTAAAATTGACTGACCCTTCTCTACTTATGTTTAAATTTAAATTGATGTTCTATCAAATAAGAAATACGTTTTGGTTTGCATGAGTAAGAAATGCATTTATTTTAGAACGGCAAAAGCTTCATGAGCCAACTATTGTGCTTGAGAAGCTATTTCCGTCTAAAGTATATGACTAAAGAGTCATGAGTATAATTATATCAAGGGAGGTCAGGGTAATATATGGCAACATTTTTTTTTCTCACTGGGGGAATAAAAATGGACTAAGAGCATGATGGAGAATCTAAATGTAGACCAATATATGGCCAATGGAAGATGAACATTTATTGGAACCAACTTCTGAAATATTTATCATAGTTATTGGTCATGTTTGTAACTTATATATTAAATCCTACATAAATCCTACTAATATGATTTGAATCGTATTTAAATCTTTTCTTATTGAGAATTATAATTACATAACAGTCTGCCTTAACATTTGGCTTAACTCCACATGGCCACATCTACTTAATGCTTGATTTTGGCAACTATGTTCCCCAAGCCTAAAGTTCCTTTTCCATTCCCACAATCAGACTTTATAGCCTTAGATTTACCAAAATTTTAACAATACTTAGGGAAAATTGTTTTGCAAATATTTATACTCTTTTTAATTCTTAATTTGGTACTTGTACCTTTTTCTCTCTCTATTAAATTTTTTAACTTTGCTTTGTTAGTACTATTAGCTCCTGTAGAGGACCTAACAGAGAAAAAAAACAGCATAAATACTAAATTAAAAAACTAAGAAAGTATAGTTATTTATAAAATTGTTTTCTTATAATATTTATTAGATTTAGTTTGAAAAAAGACATGCCAAATCAGGTCAAGATATATAACTATATTAAATGTAAGTTATACTAAATGCCTGCCAAACATGGTACCCTAATCCTTTGCTGAGTAAATTTATTGAATACTACGTTCAGTCCTTAATATAAGAGTTAGTTTGACTTTTAATTTAGTCCTAAATATAAGACCCAAGTCTACTTTGTTTCTCATATTTATTCTTTTCTCTTAAAGTAGTCTTTACAGTAGTTGCATATATTAAAGATTCTATCAAATGGTAATTCTAATCAATACACATGATTAGCAAAGGTATTTTGAAGAAGACAACACCTATTTATTACTAATAACTAACTTAACTAATTTTCTTAATATACTCAAATTAGCCAACTAGTATTTTGAAGTGCACAAGGATGAGCAAAACTTACCTGGTAAATGGGGCATGTCCTCTCATAGTTGTGGACATGGCCATAGATGGCAATGTCCACCTTGTACTTCTGCCACAGCATTTGGAGGCTGTCTTTTCCCATCGGCTCTCCAAATGATCCCTCCATTGTATAACAGATACAAGAATAGTAACCAAGCACTCTATGTGCTGGGAACACAAGCCAAGCTTGTTTCTGTCTGTCCACTAATGCAAAACAATGCTCTATGAACTTGTACTGCTCTGTTCCCTCTCTCAAATCGTGCTCTGTGTCTGCGATACAGAAGCGGAACATCCCATAGTCAACTGAATACCTGGAAAAAAAAACAGAAAGAAGTTCAACCTAAAGGCTTAAACAACCAAGGGGGAAGCCTAAGGATGGGTCAATTATAACTGGCGTTTCACATGAAGTCTCACTGGAATTGAAAAGCAGAGACTTGTAAGACCTGGTATTGGAACTCAATTGTTTTAGTCTAACATCATGTCAAGGATGAACCAAACTTAAAATCTTGAGTTCTTACGGCACACGAATCATCATTTTATTTTAAGAATTCACTGGGCGTTTAAAGAAACACTGGTTCAACAGTTAGCCCAAAACTTGATCCCCAAGAACATTAGTAAATCTTCTTTTTTAAAATAAATAAATAAATAAAGGGTTGAAAGAAACAATGGTTCAACAATCTTATTACTTTTACCCAGGAAAATAAACCTCTTTTTTTCTTAAAAGAAAAAAACATTTCCTATCACTTTTGCATATGTCATCCTAGGCGTCTCTTGTCCATGGCAAAACCTCCTGAAATTAAGTTTCACTTCTCTCCTGACTCATATTATTATTACTTCAATCCTATTCTTTATCATTCTCTTGCTTCTTATAATACATTTTCAAAGAGTTCGTGTTTTACTGATTCATAAGAGAATCCATATTTTTTACTTCAAAAATTTCATTCAAAAATCTTTGTCATAGAAACACTTTGCCTAGTAAAGTACCTGTTGGGAGTTGATTCTACAAAAAAAAGACCTATGATTTGTTAAACTCACTATAATCATTATTCAGTGAATTTTTCTTTTGCCAACGATCATAATGCACTGCCAATGGCATCATGAGAGATTAATCTACTTGAACTTGAATGGACCTACCAACTGACATAGCAGAACTTAGCTCTGTTTGAAGCTGGAACATAGAACATAGTCTGTGCCAACACGCCACATTCTCCACCAGAGTCCATGTTCTGATAAAATGATCCTGTCCCGGGCCAGTCTCGCTCATGATTTCCACTGTAAGGACGTAAAACCAATGACTTCACAGCATAACCCTTTGAATAAAATAAGATACCTTCATTGGGAGTATGTTGGAAAAATCCTCGCAACCATGTAAGGCACTGCTGATGCAATTGGCTCCACCTGTGCTGTGAATTGATCCCACTGAGAAAGGTACCCATTTGCATAACATATATCTCCAATATGGAATACCATGTCAATTTTCTCTAAATCTTGGATGAGCTGCTTGGTAGTGTTAAGTAAGCCAGGCTGGAAATTGTTGTATTCATTGGAACCATCCGCTTCCTCCTGTGGGGTTAATTGTTAAATGTGTCATCTATTGGAAGCACTCAAAGGAGTGCACAATAAAAGAACAAAGGCTCACAGAGTTGATGAAGAATGAAGAAAACACGTGTTCATCACCTTTTTTCTGGTTAACAGTTATACTTTTTAATATGCAATTAGGTAAAACTTGGAACTGGCACTACTGAATAGCAACATTTGAAATGGCTGAACAAGATAAGCAAATATGGGCTATGAAGGGAAGAATGTGCTTGGAAAAAATATCTAGGAAAGAAGCGCAACATACGGATGCTGTTTAGGTAAAGATCTAGGAAAGGTTTGTTAAGAAAAGAGGAATGGGAAGGGGATGATAGCAGAGGGTGAAATAGGCTGAAAATTGGAGAATTTTTGGGCGAGGTCTATCCCCTGAAAGACTTTGTAATTCTTTCTTTTTGCGTTTTATTATAGGTTTTATCCCCTCAAAGACTTTGTAAGTCTTTCTTTTTGTGTTTTACTATCTAATGCTGGAAACCCGGGTTTCCATCACGGGTCATAATTTATACATTAAAACTACTGGGGTTTAAAATTACTTTATCAAATAAGGGATAGAAATTTAGCTATTGCATACAAACTAAGCCATAATAAGGTAAGATTAACATACATTTTGTTGGGTTATCAAAAAAAAAAAAGCATACATTTTGTTGGGCCATAGTTCCCTCAAAAAACAGTGTGTATAAATCCAGGGTCACGCTATCCCACTGTTCTAGCTGGTGCACCTGGGCATGCATTGATAATGTAAGTATGTGATAAGCAGCATTTTTGAACGAATTTTCTACCAACCTAGCGATGCTGAACAAAAAGGAGGAATAAAAGGAACATATATATATATATATATATATATATATATAAACTCAATATCAAAATCAATATTCTAATAATAATCAAGGATTGCAATATAGGGGACTATGAGCTAACATAACCATGGTCCCAAAAGGGTTTATTCAAATCCCTAATTAAATACCG